AAAGAAAAGCAACGAAAAAAAAGAAAAGCAACGAGGCGCTGCAAAGAATTTTTTTTTTAAATACAGCTTTTTGTTGGACATTTGCTGATGTGAATCTTCAAACTTTTTAAACAAATATTTCTCATTTAATGACTGAATATTTTTAAAATAATGTATTTTCACCTTTAAACATGTTTGTGTTTTTATGTAAGTAAATTTAATGTTTGTTTTTTAAGTATCAAACAGCTGAATAACTTCTTCTCAGTTATGGAAGTGTTTAATAATTTAATGGTTAGAATTTAGCCATATAGTTTTGTTTTGTCGACATGTTTTAACTGACAGTGGAGTGTATAGGTTTAAACAAAAATAAACGTAAATATTCTGAGCAAAAAGAAGTTTGGAGTTCGGTACAAACTCTTCACGTCTCTGGTTTAGTTTGTATCAGAGCAGAGTGAGAAACTTCATTTACAGAATAAGCTGCTGAGCCTCTTRGACCTTCTCGTTGTTGATTTAACAAAGTAACATTTAGAGACATTGTTTGGATTTTTTGGTGCTGCAGATTCCCTCCCACTGGGTTCCCAGTAAAACATGTGAGACAGATTATTGGACCCTCCTCTCTGTCTGATTTCAGTCTGCTTTGAAAAGAAACCTGATCTGTAAATCAGCACCAGGACTCTTCCTTTTGTCTCTCTGACACCCTGCTGACACCCTGCTGAGGAAAGACTTCAGTTCTTTAGTTCTCTTTTTTAACTCTGAGTTTATTCTCACACCTATATGACCTTAGAAAGTGTCTTTATGCTGCCACCTGGTGGTCACACTGAGAATAACAGAAAACGGCACCTGTTTAAATCCTCCTGTGGAAACCTTCTGTCTGAGTTTTTGCTAATTGAAGTCATGTTTTTTTATTTAACTCCCTGTCACAGCTGCCTGCTGAGTGTCCCGAGGACCTCCCTTCAGAAAATAAAACCAGCAGATTTAAGCTGGAGCCTTCGGTCAGTTTCTCCCGTGAGACTTCACTGTGACCTGRCAGGACTGTCGGAGGGAGTTCTGTTCCTTTCTGTGCCTCAGCAGAGAAAACTACAGCACAATCATTTTTTTGTTACATCACTGTTTGGGTCTGCAGGACTGACGGAAGTGACTTCAGCCGAGCTTCAGCTCTCTGATGGAGCAGTTTGACTTCCTGAAAGCTCCTCTGAATGTCTCCTGGTGCCACGTGGACGAGCTTCTTRTAGTGAACCTTTAGGTTTCATCCTGAAGACTTTTTATTTTTTATGAAAATTTGGTGAGAATTGAGAAATAAGTATGCAATCTAAAAAAAAACTCTCCACTGCACTTTATTTCTGTTGGATGTAAAGAGAAGCTGATGGAAGGAAATATTTTGCAGCATRATCTCTGTAATGTGCTCTGATGTTAGTTTTCTGACTCTAACAGGGTTTCTGCAGGGATTAGAAGTCAGTAAATGGATTTTGCACAACTTAGGACCTTAAAGTGCCTGTGACATGTATATTCATGAAATACAAAAAGTAAAAAAAACATTGATGTATTTAATAAACTTAGTATATATAATACACACGACTTTACCCATTATGTCCCATTGTTGACATTTTCTTTTGAATCAAAAAGAAAAAATAAGTAGGTCCTCTGGATGGGTTCTTCTTTAGTGAAACGTTTCGTCTCTCCTCCAAGAGACTTCTTCAGTCGGATGAGTTTCAGGTGAACTCAGCCTTATAAGCTCCGCCTCGTCTGTGCTGGCT